TTTTTTTTCTCCTCCCGTCACATTCTCTCCCTTAACGTTCCGAGTTTTAATTTTGCGTCTTTTCTATTGTTCACCGAACGAAAAGGTCATTATTCCCCTTCATCCGGGCACAAAAAAAAAAAAAAAAAAAAATTTTAAAAAAATAACAACCAGTTGATTTTTAGTTTCATGTTTTATTGTTCTATGCGTCATCTGCTCAAAATAACTCATTTATTTTCACTTATGTGTGCTTGAGCTATTTAGTACTTTTTTTTGTTTTGTTTTTGTATTTTTTGGTTTCCATGTATGAAGTGATTCAAAGGTCACATAAAACTTCAAATGCCTTGTTACGACAGAGCACATAAATATGAGATTGCATTTCAAGAGTGTCTGGAAAAGACCAAAAAAAAGAAAAAGGACACAGTGGTCTTAAAGATTGTAGCATCTTCTTTGTTCTTTCCAAAGTTTAAAGGTTGCTTGGTTTGATGGGTTGCGAGTGGCTCTCGGTCAGTTGCCCCTTTGCCAGGTTTGTACCCCCGTTCCGTACCAATGCATTTCTATCTTATCCGTTTCTATTTCCATTTGAGCAAACCATTTCTTACCAGTGTATTCTGCCATGGCATTTCTTTTATGTTTCACATTTTTTGTAGTGAAGTATTTTCATTAATTATGTAAATGAATGTTTATCCAATCAAAAAAAAAAACCACACTATAATTTTATCTAATTATGTATTGTCTACAAAAGTATTACACTGTATTTCCATACATAAAAAAGAAAAGAAATATTTTGGACAGTTGATTTCTAAAATGACTGCTTTAAAGTTTAAGCGAAATTAACTCTAAAGTGCCTGGAGCTGGTCGTCATTAGTTACCAGAGTCACTGCACCACGTTTCCGTATGGTGGCCAATTCATAGATTACAGAAACTAACAGAGACAACACACCTGAACGGACGCATGGTCGTCGTAACAACCGTACAACGACCAAGTTAAAATGTTCTACCTGAAAGATTCGGGTTAACTGCAGAGGTACTAAATGGCAAAGGGTCAAATTGACCAGCAACTGTCACGAGTCACTGTGATGCCAGATTACAAATTTGCCATGGGTGAGACTTGAGCTAGCGTGGCTGCCGTTTAGGTAGAATGCCTCTTCTTACAAAGTTACAAACACATATTTGCATCCCTATAGATTTTACTCCTTTTATTTGCTTTTTTTTTTTTTTTTTGTCACACTTAACCGTTTCAGGTTCATGCAACACGTTTAAAAAAAAATTAAAGATTCTGACATTTGATAAAATGCTGTTCTCAAAGTATCCAGTCCGGATGGGACCCATGATAGCTAAAGTCCAAAACGTGGTCTCTTTTTCCTTTTTTATTTTTTTTTTCTTTTCAAGATACTAAGGAAGTTTCGCTAGCTTCGTCAGTTGAAAGTGAGTGAGACAATTAGGAAAACAAAAACACGGACAAAACAGTCCAAAAGATTGTAGCATCCTCTTTGTTCCGTCTCCCGGTTTGAAGGTTGCCTGGTCTGATCCATCACGAGTCGC